CATACATGATAGAATGTGATCTTATTCTGGTGCCAACAACAGTGGGGAGCAATAGTCATAATTTTTACACCACTACCATACTACTTCTAGAATCTCAGAAACTACTAACAACTAATATTTACTGAGTAGATACTATGTGCCAGGCACTGCTGTAAATATTTTACATGTACAGTTTTAACTTATTTATCTTCATAACAACTCCCTAAGCAAGATGTTAATGTTATTTCCATTTTAAAGGTAAGGAAACTAAGACTTTGACATTACTTCTGAGGTACGTTATGAAAGAACTCAAACAGTCCAGAAATATATGAAGAAAAGCAACCCATCTTCCCATCCTGCTAGGTAAAACCGTGGTCAAGTAACATCCAGACACAATTTTCCCTGCAGCAAATTTTTTAAAATTCATTTCTATGGAATTTCTCTTTAAGATTATATCTAGTGAAGGCAAATGAAGAGCAAGTAAATTTAGCAAGGCAGTTTGGTCTGATCCTTATGTTTTGGACTAACAAAAATTGCTAGCCCAGAATCACGGGGAATGAAGGCAAATAATTTCTGTTGAAAGATCTTTCACACTTTTTAAAAATGACCAAAACATGTAAACCCAAATGGTTAACAATAGAACTGACAACAAATTAGAGTATATCAATATAACAAAATTACATGGCCATTAAAATTTTATTTTATTTATAACTACCTGCTGGCAAATTATTAACTTGGCAAATGTCCATGATATAATGTTGACTGGATAAAATGGGTGACATACCATATCACCTCAAAAAATATTTTTTGAATAAAGGAGTTACATAAATTATATGTATGTGCATATACCAGGGGTGCCAAAAAATGTATACACATTTTAAGAGATCTATGTATTTATCTATGTATTACTTTTCAAAGTTGAATTACGGTAGCAATGTGTAATTGCAGAAGTCAAACGTGACTTGTATTCATCTTTTGTTATTTGGATATATTATTACAATCTGAATACAGTTTTTTCTTTTCTTAAAATATGTATACTTTTTTTGGCGCCCTCTGTAGATGAAAAAAAAATGAAATGTTAAATTATATTTCCAAATGCAGTAAAACTAATTTTATTTTCTTCTTTACAGAAACATATATCATTTTAGAAAAAATGAAAAATATAAAATATAATTGTTAAAGGATATAAAGAGAATAAATACTAAGTGGTTAAAAATAACTTGAACTATTATGTTTCAGTTAATAAACTAAACAATAATCTAAAATTTTAAGAACTTCCTTTTTCTTAAGGTAGAATGCATTTACACAATTCACATTTTATCAGTAGTACTGTACAATGCTATTCACTACTTAATAAATAAATTTTCATGAATACCCAATGGTTTAATTCTGATACTATACCTGACATTGCTGACCAAAGAATAGAGGAAATATTGATTTTCCTTAGAAATATTTGACTGTGTAAGAGAAAATTTGTTATCTTCAGCAACCTCCAAAGCCACAATCTTTCCTATTTTTGAAGATTTATACAGCCGAAAGTTTCTATTTCTTGTATAAACTCCTATATCAAAAAATAAAACAATGCATACTTTCAGTGATTTTTTTTTATAGTCAGCAAATATCAAATTAATTTTGTACAGCATTATAAGAAGAAATCATTGGTTCTGATTCAACATGGCAACATAGAAAGATCCTGACCTCACCTCTTCCCATAGACATACCAAACCTACA